GTCATAATGTTGAGCCATATAGGGCAATAAATATATGTAAAAAATATAGAGGCTTTTATTTTGAAAGGGTCCCTGGAGTCTTATTTTGAAAGTCTATCAGTGTTGAGTGGCAAGGGAAGTGTCATGGACAGCAGTCATATAGTATCCATTTCCCAATGTTAAATCTGTGCTTTCACCCTCCATTAGATTAATATGTGCTGTTTAAAACAGCAGAGGTAAAATCTGTTTGAAGCACGGTTACCTTGACAACGCTTAACGAGCCTGTCAGTGACAGAGAGAAAAGCGCAGCACTATCGTTCCTTAGCTCTCAGGCTTTTTTGAATGGGAGGAACAGCTCCGAACAAACGACTGCTGAGCAAAAACCGTAAAAGGTATTTGAAAAATTCTTTCAGTGAAAGCAACATCTATCCTTTGTCTCAGACTGGGGTAACCTTCATGTCTGTAGGTCTTTCACAACCCAAAACGAAGCACAAACAAAATGGCTGATCCCACCTGCTCCTCCCTTTGTTTTAACTGCAGCAGCTCCTCTCACTCACCTTTAAGCTGCTAAAGCACCCCTCCGAACAAACGACTGCTGAGTAAAAACCGTAAAAGGTATCTGAAAAATTATTTTTATCTAAGCAACAGCTATATCTTGTCTTCAATTGGAGTAACTTTCATGGCTGTAGGTCATCTACAACCTGAATGGGAAGAGAAAGAAAAAGACAAAACGTTTTCTCACACCTGATCTTCTAATTGAGCTAGCTGCAGCAGATCCCTCTCACCTAGCTTTCTGGTGCTTAAAATGTCCTCCGAACAAACGACTGCTGAGCAAAAACCGTATGAGTTATTGAAAAAAAATTTTCACCGTGAGCGTCAGCCATCCTTTGACTCCAACTATGCCAACTTTGGTGTATGTGTGTCTTTCAGAACAATATTTATGACGAGTTTAAAACACATACTGTCAATCGTTTTTCTCCTCTCTTCAGCTCCAAAACCAATGAAAAACGGCTCTGATTTTGATCGACTTTAGGTCGGTCTGGAGGGTTTTTAAGGAAAAGTATTAATCCTACCGTAATTACGAAGACATTGTGTGGGTCCAGAGATTTCAGTCTACAAACTGACCAAAAATGGTGACTCTAGCTATAAATATGTGGCCGTGAGGGCGAGTTTAAAATGTTTTTTGGTCTTAAAAAAACGGCTGCCTCACACTCTAAATTTTCAGTTGCTCCACTCTAGCAGGCAGGATTTTGCTAAAACTTTGTGGCGCTTGAGGTCTGATTATACAAAAACCGTAGCAGTTATCAACATACCGTCTTCAGTTTTAAATAGACGAAGGATTTATCTACAAACTGAGCTATAAACTGTTTTTCTAGGTGAATGTATGGTGACACAGTGAAGTGCTGTTTTTTATGCTTTTTTTTGCTCTCCCCATTCATTTCCTATGGGATTTTTTTTGCGACGTTTTCGCTAATAATTCGCAAACCTTCGGACTAATGAGAAAGTTATATACAAGCACACATCACCCCATTGGTCCCGACGCGTGTGCCAACTTTGGGCCCGATCCGCCAAACCGTGCGGGACTAGTTAGGTGCCGAAGTTTTGGTGGCGAGGAGAACTATAAGCTAGTATAATACGCGGAATAAATATGTGAGATAGTAGTAGGTGGGCCATGCCTTCGGCATGTGGCCCCCCTAATAATATAACCGTGGATGTCTGGGGGACAGTGATTCGCTTACATGTTATGAATGCTGGCGTACCATAAATGATAAATTTATGGAACAGTTAGTTTGTGCCTTCAACTCTTAGATTATGAACAGTTAGTTTGTGCCTTCAACCCGTTGCCCATAGGAAGACGTTACTTGGATATAACAAATCGGAATATCTTCAGAACAGCTCCAAATGACACAAAACTCATATGTGCGAGTACAACATTATGTAATAACTTAAAATCAAGGGCCCAATGTAAAAAAAAACGGTGTTCCCCTTTAATATATTACATACTGTACATCCCCAACTTATGTCACCGTGTCTATTCTCATAAAGATTTCTCCTTATGTAGCTATTAAATGGAACTTTCCCAGTTCTCCAAAATATTATCTGTTAACAGGACTTTCTTTCAGATTGTTCTGGAAGTAATATATAAAAAAAAGAAGAAAAAAAACGTTCTTACAGTTTCTTCCACTTGTGCGGAAACTCAACCATGAAACCCGGAAACAAATGATTTGCAAATGCAGCTTTTTAAGGGAAAGTGTGGGCTTTTGGAAGCAGAAGTATTTGTAAGCTCTCGGAAAAATTACTGCAGCAGTCCAAAGGGTGAAAATATTTAACTAAAGCCCCCCCCGGGTGTGGTAACACATATTTTATGAAGGTCATTGTAGTGTTACAACATAAACGATAGCATAGATCCACCCTGGATCTAGCCTAGTTTCCTTTGTTTGTGCGTATGACCATTTCTTTAGCTTCCTGCTGCGGGCTCCATAATGTGCATTTAATCAATTCTAATGGAGGGTGCATGGCTGAGCCTGTGTATTTAATTTAATCCTGCGTGGAAACATTTTCACCATAAGTTTGTATGTTTAAATCGCTGTAAAATTATTAAGCCATTGAATTAGTCATGAAAACCTAAATTTTAAAGACATTATGGCCTAGATGAGAGGATGGAAACCATCGGAGGAAGCTTACAGTGGGCATTAATTTGCCAATAATAGGTTAATTAAAATAAATTTTTTTATTTCTAAATGTCTCATCACTTCAGTTCCTCCTCGCCACAATAAAAATAGGTTTCAGTTTGAGGCAGGAGGGAGAGAACAGGAGGAACGAAAGGAATAACATTAATCCATCTGGGTCTAAATAGCTGTGATCACATTTTTTCAGAACTGACAGACGGCAGGGCGTGTCTGTTAATAGCTGCTGGAATCAAAGGGTTGAAAGCTCCCCTTTCTTTAAATCCCTAGCTAATCAAACTGCATTGTTGTGATTAGCTGGTTGTGTGAAAATGCTGCAGAGTTATCCACCTATGTGTTTAATCTGTGTCTTGCTGTAGAGCAGGAATATGATTTGAAAGGGGAAAAATAGAAAAAAAAAAGAGAGGCAACAAAGAAATTAAAAGGGCAGTGACTGACAATAAGTCACCAGTTCAATTACATCCAACATGTCTCTTCTTCCATCTAAGCAGAACCTATTAGTTTGTAAAAGTCACGGGTTACATACCAACAAACAGGGAAAGCTAACCTTCACACCGAGGCAGAGGCAATTACTGGTCCCCCACACTGAGAGGCAGCTTGGAGGTCTTTGCTTTAAATGTTGCAGGAAATGTCAGTGAAGTACATGCAACTAGAAAGGGCTCAGCCAGAAGAAAAAGGAGGAATTAATCAGTTTTTAATAAAAAAAAAAAGAAGATCAAAAGCCAGACTAATTTCTGTTTGTTTAAAAATGTTTTATATTTCATAAAGGGGAAAGAAAATTCGACTAAGTAAAGTCACAATAACCATCTTCTTGTGTTAGCCATTATTAACTCCAAAAAATTAGAGTCTCATCAATCATGCAGAGAAATTAAGCTGTAATGAAACAGTTCCCCAGAATGTCAAGAACTTCAAGGTAAGAAGCTCAGCAGCGGGAAGAAGGTACAGTGAACTTTAACTCCTCCTCAGAAAGGGGGCTACCGAAAATGTTTGCTGGACAATGGCTGCAGATGAGTGCGAGTGAAGCTGTCCGCTCTTTTTTTTCCATGACTCCTGTGTGCCTATATCAATACACATTGTGAAACAAGGCTGAATGGGGTTTCTTTCTATGACAAAGGCTAGTAAAACCCTCCTGCAATATAGGAACAAATAGGTCCTTGTCTTTCGATTTCTAATAGAAAATCAGAACACTGAACTTTACTCTGTGGCTAGAAAACCTTCCAGCTCCTTAAAGATCTAACTTTAAATGTTTACATTGGCACTAAATTGTAAGGCTTGAATCCAGCTCTTCAAGCTCCAATGCTATTTTTCTGTCATACTGGTTACATAGTGGCTTCCTCTACAGACCACTGTCCATGGAAGATAAAGCAGTTTCTATGGCTAGTGAACAATAATAAATGCTTAAAAAATATCACCGTTTCACTCCTGAGCTCCTTCCATGGGTAAAGCACATTGCTTATTTAAATGCTTTATTTCTTTTTTGAAATTCCAAGTGTGCCCCGATTGTTATATACACATAAAATATTTGCTTTGTGTTTCAATACAAACATGTATAGGGAAATCCTTGGCAGAGTTTTTCTCTTGACTAGATGAAGATTACAGACATGGAATCCAAATACAGCTTATTCAGGGTACAGTAGCAGCCATTCAAAATCTCCCCACTTTGCCTGATGGGTCCTTGGTTTGTCCCCTAAGATTCCTTTTTTAAACATCAGTCTTTGTACTAAAATATTCTGTCATGATTTGTGGACATTAAGACCTAAAGAGAAGCACCTTCACCAGCTGCCGTTTGACTGGGAAAGCCATTGGCAAGTATGGCTTTTAAAATACCCCCCAAAAACATTAACCTTCTATAAGTGGATCTGTCCGTCCGTCCGTCCGTCCATCCATCCATCCATCCATCCATCCATCCATCCATCCATCCATCCATCCATCCATCCATACATAATATGCAACTAATTTAAATAATACTTAATGTTAAAAGAAGCTTTGTTTCCTTGGTGATCTTGTGACGATCTTGATCAATTCTGTGACCTGTTCTATAAAATGTTCTTTTTATTTTATGTGTGTCTCCCGCAGCTCTTCACTGTTAGAGAAATCGACACTTTTTCTTGAAGGACGCCGGTCAAATCAATAAAAAAAAAGATTTTATGACAGTTCTCTTTGATGCGGATCCTTGGGGAGTCGCCACGTGCCAGAGACACGGCTGGTTTGTGAATATGCTTGTGTGTGGGTTGGGTTGTGTGTGTGTTTGTCTCTGAAGACTCCCTCAGTTGCAGCCTGTCTGAGGTGATAAGCAGCTGCTGAAAGTCAGCTTGTGTGTTTTTTTTTAACTACCTGATCATGCTTTGTGTTACTGGGGGGCAGAGGATTGGAAACCATTGGTCCAAACAGATCCAGTTCTTTGCCGACAGGTGCCGTTCGATCAGAGCCTTTTCCTTCTCCCTCTGGAGCATCTGGAAAAAGGAAAACTGGAATTAAAATGTGTTGTTGTTTTTTGCACATTTGTCCCAAAGCTAGATGACTTTAAAGGAGACGGCCCACAGGGGGACATCCAAACAGTGGCGATTTCTTATTGAATACTAGGTAGGCTAAACCTCCCTTGTAAATTTTTTGTAAAATTATTGGTAAAATATATATTGTCAATCTTCATAAATGTACTCATTAAATTGCATTAGTTATGCTCTAAAAGGTGCCTAATTTCATAAGTATATGAGAAATTCCTGTTGAGGCTTGAGCCTCAATGCTGATTGGCAAACATACTTGAGTATTTTCGACTGACAGTGGCCAGACTTTCCTCATGGTTTTCCCCATGAGTCGAACAGGAAAAGTGATCATTCAGTCAGAACAGTCGTCTTCTGCAGAACTCCTGCCGTGGTTTCTGGAGGTTATTATTTCAAAGCGCTTCACAACAGCTATTTTCACCTGTTGTAGCGATGTGATTTATGCCTTTCAATATTTGTTAGTGCAACGTGTGATGTTTGGATTTAATTAACACCATTGAGCCTCCCTTGTTTTCCGAGAGCAGCAGCCAAACACCTGGTAATGTTGGAAAAAAAGCTGATAAAAACAATATTTACATGTAATCCCAACTACATTCGATTTAGAGACTGTGGGAGGCCTCTGCACCAGCAGTGTCCCACTGCATCCATAGCAGATTCTTTCAGTTTCCAGCTGTTTATGGTTTCTATGTGGACATTCTTCTTTATGACTGAAGCTTTTGTTATAGTGAATTTCTCAGTCTGTTTGAGAATAAATTCAGTTATATAATGATGAATACTAAGAATTTTTTTTGTGCGTGGTTAAAACTGGCCAAGCTATTAGCGAATATTAAGTATTGACTATATAATTATAAATAAAAGCCATTATCCAGATCACAGCCTTGAAAACATAACAAAAAAACTCAAAAAGTTAGTTTTAACCATATTTTAGTCAGTATGAGTAAGTTGCCATTTATATCAAATTATTTGTACAGTGCAAAGGACGGTTTAAACAACATGGGGAATGATAATTTATCTCAATTGTCCTGCATCCAGGCTATCACTTGTCAATAATACACTAAAGTTGTGTGGATAAAGTGTCCCTAATGCCCACATCTGATCTATATTTATAGAGCCTGAGATGCTGAAGCCCACAGAGCATGGTAGGTAGGTTATTTTTCTGTTTGAAGTTTAGTTTAGTTTTATTATAATCAATGTGTCCTCAATCTGCACAGATATAACACCTTGCAGGAATCTCCATCCTATTTAAGAAGCATCTATTATACCACACACCCATAGATCATGACAGACTGCTACTTCTGTAACACTAAAATGAGACTAGGCTCAATTTCTAAACTCTAGAATCACTACTGTGTACTAGCTGAATCCTCTCTGCCTTGCAGTCTATTGGCAGCTTGAAATAACTGGTTACCAAGGGCATATCTTCAAGGTGTGTGCTGCTGGTAAAGGTAAAAACAAAGAGATGGTGGCACTGCTGCAGACAGACCTTGGTATGTGGAAACTTTTTCAGGGAAATGATTGCTTAGAGTAACTTCTTAAAGGGCAGGAATGGTCCTGACCCACTGGAACAAAGTATTGCCTAAAACACAGTAGTGGCAGAGGGAGTTGCTACAGCCAGGGGCATAAAAATAATCCACAAGCCTGCTCATCTACATAGTTCAAATCAAAAATAAATATTTACAGTGAAATGAAGACAATGCAGATAATCTATAGTGTATATACAAAACTTGTAAAATGTTTTAGAGTTAAATCAGACTGTTTTGAAAACAGAATAGTGTTAGATTCACAGAATAAACTGTTTGTGAGATTAACATCCAACAGTATTTGTTTATAAAATGCATTTAAACACCCCCGCTGTAATGTGCTGTGGGATGGGATGAATTGTTGATATTTGATATCAAACTGCTATCTCATACTGACTCGCTCATCCTCATGTGTCCAGTAGATTTCCCAGCTCTATAAATATTTGAGTTTGTTGATGCTACTGGCATTCTTAACCTCCATCCTGCCTCCACCAGATCACTGCACAGTGGGCTGATGTCACTTCCTGACTGTAGGAAGAATCAGTTTCCTTACACGTAGATTGGGACAGGATCGTGGCAGACATTTAGGCAGAGGAAGCTGTCCTATACCGAACTTGATTAGAATGATGGAGTGCTAAACTATTTGATTTAATTAGATCTTGAATAAGTTAAAAGGAGGATAAATACCTGCATTGCAATAGATTGTTCTAGTTTAGCCATCCCCTTACTCTATGACACAAATTATAACTAGAGCATGAAATTTAGTTTTCACATTCTGCCGTGAAGTTCTTTAGGACCAAAGCCTCTGGGTGGTGTTGGAGGCTACAGTATAAGTTCTATATCAGAACTTAACATTTCCTACAGTTTACATTCATATTTCTGTTATGTCACCAAACACAACCCAGATATGAGGAGTTCTGAAATGCAGTAAAAGATAATGATATGTGAAGTGTACCGTAAGTATTACAACTAAAAAGGAAGAGTGTATAAAAGTATGGAAATAGGAAGTGCAGGCTCTGTGAAATATGCTTAGTTTAATAGGAAATTCTCTTGAGTACATGGCGAAACACAAGAGTATTCACACTTCCCAACTGACGGGTAATAAAAGTCCAGACTGTGCCGAGGAAATATTTATCACCCTAAGCCTCCAACTGACGTCTGTGCGACTGACAAAAAGCTGGCTGGTTGGGTGGATTTATGCCGAAGGAAGACAAATTATTATCCTTCTTCCTGCTTCCCCAGAAGGAACTGAAATTCTTCAGGCCAGGTAATGCTTTTGCAGGGTTGAATAGTGCAGTGAGCCAGAGCTTATTGTAGCAATAGATTTTATCCTTGGCTATTTTTGATTTTTAAAAGTTCTCTAAAATTCTATAACCGTCTTTTCTAAATCTGCTGATATGTTTCCTATTTTGCAATGGTTTTTGTAGTATTGATAAGCTAGTATAAGTCTATCATAAATCTATTATCATATGAGGAAGTCACAGACCTTTAGTGGCACATAAGGTCCCACCACAGCTTTTAAGTACTGTATGTGTGTGTTTGCATGGGGGAGGAAAGGTGTAACATTTCCAGTTAGAAAGCATCCAGAGGGAGCAGGATGCTTTTCCCAGGATATCTTTGTGTACTTTTAATGAGTGTCTTAAAATCTATCAATAACAGTACAAGCATAAAAGTGTTAGAGTGATTGCTGTGAGGTGTGCTAGATCTGTCACAATAAGCAATCAATCAATTAAAAGCTTGATGGATTTAAATGAGTTCTAATTTCTATTTAGTCTTGTTTGTTTTCCTTGTGTCTTTTTATTCTTCATGTTGGTCCTGTAATTGACAAAAAAGAGCATTGCAAAAGGGTGCTAACTCACAGAGAGTGTACTTAATTTAATCTCTAAAGACACGCTACCCATTCATTTAATTGATAAGCAACCTTTAGAAAAAAGCAAACATTTGACACCTTGTTCGCATTCCCTGGGTTCAGATACGTCTAATTTGTTCTGTAGTTGTAAGTTTGTGCTTTCATTAAATACCCAGTTTTGCCCGTTTTCCCTCTCTGAGTCTCATGATTATTATTTTTTTGTGCAAAATTTTGCTAAAGGAAAAACAATCCATTTTAGTTATTATTTTGACTGTGTGTGTTTTTATAATCCATTTGATTGCTTTTGGGTTTCTTTGGTTATTATTCAAGTGCATTTTTGTAAAAGTAGTCGAGTTAATTGTTTTTTTTTTTTTGATAATTGAAATGTCTTCCAGTTCCACTGCTAAGTGTTCTTTAAAAGCTTAAGTATAATTGTCTTTTAGAGAGAATACTTGCATTATTATGCTATTATTACACAGTTCTAAAATGAACTCCAAATAAAAATACCACAATTTCTATTTATTTTCAAGCAAAACCTGTCATTATGAAAGGCTGAACTGTGGCTACTGAAGCAAACTGCAACTCAGTGAGCATCAGATCTACATGTCAGTCAACTTAAAGAGCAACTACAGCATAAATAATTTCATTTTATTCCCTCAATTAAAAAATCTGTGAGCTTTCCAGTATATTTTATTATAAACAAGTATGCAAATAAACGGATTTTGTTTCAATTATTTACAAGACAAAATCATATAGAACTATATTAAGTAAAAACAAAAAAACAAAAACAAATCCCCTTCCAAAATATGCTGAAATTATATACAAAAAAAACTAAAAGAATGTCAGCAAAAATTTGAATAAAATGCAAATATTTTTCTTAATGTTTTTTAAAAAAATTTCATCTAGTACAAAATGTATATCAAAACCAATTCAAATTGAGCCTTTTTCAATCCTACAGTTAAAATAATTTCTAGTTATCTTTACATAAACAGTCACATTTGTATAATATCCACTTTATCCAGCTATAATCAAAAATCAAATTTTCTTAAAAGGTCCAGTGTAAATAACAGACGTGTATTGTTGTGTAGAAGTTGAAAAAATACCTTCCAGTATTGCAGGAATTTACTGTCATACAGTCGATGATTCATGCAGAATTATAAGAAATGTTTGGCAATGGAGAGGATGCTGTTGCTGATAAACGTCTAATTAACTAATTGTCCTTTTTTTACTTTATTTAAACAGTTCTTATCAAGCATCAATCCTAAAAAAAAAATGTCTAGGGTCCACATAGATGCCCCAGTCCCCTATTAGGAGGGGGACCATTGAGTCTTAAGGGTGCTAACCTTATGCCGCTGTGTACATTTTTACATTTTTGTGAAAACCGCTTAAAGTCTGCTAAATGTGAGCAGAATAACTCTTAGAGCTACCTTCTACTGGTTGAAACATTTCCCATTGTGTAAATGCTAAAATGTCTAAATCTCAGCCCTCCATTGAGTGTTGTTTGTGTGTTCAAATAACTGCAAACCTTGGAACTAAAAGTCCATGTGTTTTTACTATTGATGCTACCATTTATCAATGTTTGT